CAGGAATGTTTTAAAAACAACAGTTCAAAAGGACACTGGTTCAGGACTGCCCAAACTTACAGTCCACATGTAAATCTTTGAATCAGGTTATTCTTGTCTGTGTCTGATAAAACAACTACTACCCACTGAAACCTACATAGCTGTCACTATCCTTGCTTCACTTCCTGTTCCCTATGGCTGTGTCCAGACTCAGGGTTTTTTTCAAAAAAAGCAAGCCGCTTTTTCGAAAGTTCAACGTGCAGTCTAGACGCTCTCTTTCGAAAGAGGCTCTTTCGAAAGATACTTTCGAAAGAGCCTCTTTCGAAAGAGGCTCTTTCGAAAGATACTTTCGAAAGAGCCTCTTTCGAAAGAGGCTCTTTCGAAAGATACTTTCGAAAGAGCCTCTTTCGAAAGAGGCTCTTTCGAAAGATACTTTCGAAAGAGCCTCTTTCGAAAGAGGCTCTTTCGAAAGATACTTTCGAAAGAGCCTCTTTCGAAAGAGGCTCTTTCGAAAGATACTTTCGAAAGAGCCTCTTTCGAAAGAGGCTCTTTCGAAAGATACTTTCGAAAGAGCCTCTTTCGAAAGAGGCTTGCAGTCTAGACATAGCCTATGTGTCTCAGGCTGCAGGGTTGCGCAGTGCCTTGTTGATTATCCCGAGGTTGTTTGCTCCACTCTGTCCCTTTCCCTGCACACTTAGGGTACGTCTAGACTACAGAGTTTTGTCGACAGAAGTTTTGTCGACAGATACTGTCGACAAAGCTTCTGTCGACAAAGAGCGTCTACACTACATTCAGTTCTGTCGACAAAGCAAGCTGCTTTGTCGACATGGCAGTGTAGACGCAAGGACAGTTTACATGCAATAACACCTTCTGTCGACAGAACTCTGTCGACAGAAGGCGTTATGCCTCGTAAAATGAGGTTTACCAGCGTCGACAAAACTGCTGAGTTCTGTCAACATTATGTCGACAGAACTCAGCGGTAGTGTAGACGCAGGTATAGTTTTGTTGACAAAAGTCCACTTTTGTCGACAAAACTCTGTAGTCTAGACATACCCTTTTATACATTCTGCCTTTGCTCTGTTAACAATGTCAACTTCTATCATCAGTTTTCCAGATATTCATGGGAAAAATACCCCATCAAATCCATAAAGTTACAACCTTATCAACTTTTTGCTGGCCTTAGATGGTAAACTCAGATTACTGGCTAATATGCAAAACTTGCTTGTTTTACATTTACCTTGTCATCCAAGCAACATCCTTTGTTCAATTAATCTATTTGTTGCCGTTTATTATAAACAAAGACTGTGAGTTCACTGGGTAGGGACTTTTTTCTCATTACTTATTTGTACAGCATGTAGCAAGATGTGACCCAGAGGCTTGATGTGAGCTTTTTGGTGGTTTTGTAATGTCAGTGAATTCTAAACAATGTGAAGACATAACTTCATATTCAAGTCAATATTGGAAAGCCCTAAATATATTGAGCCTACAAAGGAGTCCTCAAATAGGTATTGCTAAGACTAAATGTAGTTTTAAAGACTAAATTACTATGAGGTCTCAAATATTTTAAATATTGTATTAATTTTGGAAAATGCTGTTCTGCCTATTTTGAAGCTTTTCTCCCTTTGTTTCGAGGCCTCCATGACTCCATATGAGGCTGAAGTAAGTAGAAGAAATTGGTCTTAATTGGGTCTTCCAAATTGAATTTTATATTGTGATTACTGTTTGGATTAAAATACTGCAAACAGCACCTGGTCCTTATGGTACTGTTTCTCCATTAAAAATACATTAAAAATGGGATCTCCTTTAAAAAAAAAGGGGGGGGGGAATTATATATGGCTTAGAGATGTTAAATGTAATCAACTAATCGACTAGTCAATAGATTTTCCATCCACTTGTCAAATAGTTGATAAGCAGGGGAACTGCAGCGGGACCTGAGAGCTAACCCTGCTGCAGCTCTGCCTTTTAAATGTATTAATAGCTTGTTGGCTCTTAATATATTTAAAAGGCTAAAGCACAGCAGGAGGGACCCAGCATGAGCCAGGACAACTAACAAGCTCTTAAAACATTTAAAAAGCAGAGGTGTAGTATCTGGGACTGGACGCAAGCTGGGAATAAGCTGATTTCCAGCTTGTGCCCAGTCCCCACTACCTCCCTGCGGAGACGGAGCTGGGGGAACTGGCTTTTAAGCCAGCTCCTTCGAACACTGGCTCTTGTCCCCTCCCCCCTTGCGGACTCTGATAGAGGCAGCAAGGGGGGGGGGGCTAAGCGACTAGTTGAGGAATTAGTTGACTATCCTATAAGCTTTTGCTTATTGCAGAGGTGGAGAACCTTTTTTGGGTTGGGGGCTGTTGACCCACAGAAAAATCAGTCGGGGCTGCACACAAATTAGGAGCAAAATCAAAAAACAAAAAAACACCCCAAGAATAAACTCCCACTGACATTGAGGAGATAAAGCTTCAGAGGTTAGTCTGTAACAGGAAAAACTTAAAAAATAACAATTAGTCTAGTAGCATCTCAAAGACTAAATAGTTACAAAGAGGCTGATAAGAACCATTAGTTAGTACTTGGAAAGGAAGATGACCAACACCAGATTCTACACAGACATCAAGAACCATTAGCACCTTCATTGGTCGGTTGGTTGATAATGTGTGAACCATGATTCACACATTATCATAAGAGAAACTGTAAAACCATGTGCTCAGGCAAAAATTGTATTTAAGGAAGGCTTAGTGATCACCAGTGGTTATTCCTTTTACCTCACCTGCATAAATCACCTAAGAGTTGCGAGAGTTTCCATCCCTTCATGTTTATCCTGAAGCCTCCCTTAGGAGCAGCACCTACAGCAGTGGTCTCCAACCTTTTTACACCCAAGATCACTTTTCAAATGACAGAACAAGCCAAGAGCTACCGCCCCGCTCCTTCCTCGAAGCCCTGCCCCTTCCTCTCTATTCTCTCCATCACTTGCTATCCCCAACCCTTATACTGCTGCTTTTTCCCCAATCCTTCTGTAGGAAGAGGTTTTCCCAACATTTGGCCTGTCAAGACTGGACCAAATGTCAGTAAAACCCCTTCTTTTGGAAGCCCTCTTATTCCTCGTGGAAAGAGGAATATAGGGGTTACTGAAAGAGCATGTTTGCTCTTCCACTAAAAAAAGCGGAAGAACAAATGCATCCCTGGATGCAGAAGAGTTTTTCTGGGATATCTTCAGAATCCTGAAAAACTCCTGCAGTCTAGCCTTACCCTCACTGGGTTGAGGAAGGATGTATAGGCTCTGGGGTGGGAATGAGGGATTTGGATGTGGGAAGGGGTGAGAAGTGCAAGCTCTGAGAGGAAATCTGGATATAGGAGGAGGTGGAGAAGGGGACGCTGGGTCGGGGAGGGGGCTTCAGGCCGGGCAATGTTGGGGTCAGATGTAGGGTTAGGGTACTAAGCAAGCCACAAGCTTGTGGATATAAAGGTGCAGGAATTTGGGTTAGGGTATGTGAGGGGCTCAGGGCAGGGATTTCCAGTGTATGATAGGTTCAGATCAAAGGTCTGGGGGAAAGGGGTATGCAGGAGTGTCATGATGTTGTGGGCAGATGGGGGCTTGGCCCCAACTGTGGGTTTGTTGGCCAGGCTTCATTTCTGCATTCTCTTTATTTATGAGAAGGGCAGGGAACCTGTTTTGAGTCAGGGGTCACTGACCCACAGAAAAGTCAGTAGGATCCACACAAGTGGGATGCAAAATAAAAACTCCTCCAAAACTCCCACAAGCCTCACTAATGTGGCCCCAACTGTGCTGGTGGGAGCAGGGGGACATGGTATTGGGGAAGGGTGCAAGGGGGTATCGGGACAGGGTGCTGGCTAGGGTGCCAATGGGTCCTGGGGCAAGGGCCAGTGGGTTCTGGGGCAAGGGCCTGGGGCAGAGGACAGTGTGTCAGTGGAGGCAAGGGACAGGGTGCTGGGGTGGGGACAGGATGCCAGTGGGAGCAGGGTGTTGGCTGGGGCAGGGAATCCCTCCCCCCCCCCAGAGGAGGGAAGCTCCGGCAAGAGCCTCCTTCTGGGACTTCTCCCCCCTCCCTGGCTCCTGCTTCTCCCCGGGACTCCTACCTCCTCCCCCGCAGAGGAGGGGAGCCCCAGTGTGCACTGCCCCCTGAACTCCTCCCCTCTCCCTTACAGAGGAGGGGAGCCCCAGCACATGCTTCCCCCTGGGACTCCTACCTTTTCCCTGGCGTGCGCTTCCCCCTGGGACTCCTCCCCCATCCCCGGTGCAAGCTTGCCCTCAGGACTTCTACCTCCTCCAGAGCAGAGGGGAGCCCCGGCTTCCTCTGGGACTCCTACTTCTTCCCGGTGCGCCACAGACCTGGAGGAGAGGAGTAGGCAGTGTACTTCCGGAAACCCTGGAAGTGGCACGCAGTTGCTGGACTTCCCTCCACCCCACAGGAAGTTGGCACTACCTCCGTTTTCGGAGGTAGGTAGTGGGGCTTCTTGGGGGCGAGGAGAATTGGAGGGGCCCCGAACGCCTCGCAAGGGACTCCTACTTCTTCCCGGTGCGCCACAGACCTGGAGGAGAGGAGTAGGCAGTGTACTTCCGGAAACCCTGGAAGTGGCACGCAGTTGCTGGACTTCCCTCCACCCCACAGGAAGTTGGCACTACCTCCGTTTTCGGAGGTAG